CTGTCCAACCTCTCCAACAAGTCTGCCATCTGAGGTGATGGACGATTTCCATGGTGGGCAACCCCATAACCAACGATCACCACTCTCTTCGGCCAAACGTAGGTTCTGCCGCCCAGGAAAACTGACCTCGAAGTGTTGGAGCAGAAAGCAGCTGCCGAAGAGCTCGGGTTGTCAATAGAGCTCACATCGTCATCAGTAGCATCAATAGCCGGTTCGTGGTCTCTTGTTTCTCTCGGGGTCCTTCCACTTGCGTCCCCAATCGTCCGAGTCGTCTTCTTCTTTGCCCCGCCCCAAGTCACCGGAACTTTTCGTTGAGGCGTCTGCTTTCTTGCTGCCGTAGTTCCCGACATCGAATTGGCTGTATACTATCCCCAAGCTTTGATTGTGCCTCGAATGAACACGGAATTGTAATGATGAAAGCTTAAGCGCCAAAAAAAAGGGCTGCATCAATCTTTGCCAAAGTGCTCTCTAACGTTCTTGTTACAGGCTGACAGAATCCAGGCTTCTGGTTTCTGGATGCCGTCTCTTCCCCGTTTGAAAGCTCTCCTCAAATGTTGTTGCATTGAAACAATGACATGTCAGGTAGCAAATTATTCTCAATTGGAAATTGTCTGAAATGTACTGCAGGTGTCACAAGATCAACAGCCTTTCTCGGGCAGAGCAAATAGAGCAAGTAGATTGCTTGCTGTGCTTTCCGGAGATCCTGGCCCTGCTCCTCGAGACACAATTCCTCAGGGAGATGCTGGAGGGCCACACTCGACATAGCACAACTTGAGCCAGAACTGCAGCATTAGGTTACAAGGGGCTCACAATCAATCACCAAGCAAGCTGACACACACACACACACACACTCACTGAGCCTTCCGCGCAAATATCACTCACATGCCTTCTGAAACGACTTCACCTGGCAAAATGCAAATTTCATGCCAGCCCTGCCCCCCCCCCGGCTCTGTCAAAACATGCCAGGCAGACCTTGCCATTGATGCTACCACAATAGTTATACTACCGCAAATCATGCTACCACAATTAGCGCTACCACAATTGTTGCTACCACAATTGACAAATTGATGCTACCAGAACTGATGCTACCAGAATTGATGCCACTGCAAAATCGAATCAACCAAGCCAAGCAATGCCATGCTGACTACCACAGTTGCTGCTACCAGAACTGATGGTATCAGAATTGATGCCACCGCAAAATCGAATCAGATGCCACCGCAACAATCGAAGCAATCAAGCCATGCAATGCCATGCTGACTACCACCATTGACATTGATTGATGCTACCAGAATTGATGCCACTGCAGCATCGAATCAACCAAGCCAAGCAATGCCATGCTGACTACCACAATTGATTGATGCTACCAGAATTGATGCCACTGCAGAATCGAATCAACCAAGCCAAGCAATGCCATGCCGACACAGTAACGGCCTCCCCAGCGTCTTTGCAAACACGAGTGTGCTCTGACAGTCATGCGGACTGGAGACTTCTTTAAATGCCACCCCCATTCGGCCAAGATGGGGTCACCCTGCTGAGTATGCGCCGGCAAATCAGGGCCTTGGACGTCGTGCTTGCCTTCTTTGCCCTATGCGGAGCGCTGAAATCCAATTGCCTTGCATACCGGCCCGCAAGAGGACAGGTCATGCTCGTCATCGAGTGCACCGGAATCGCTGCGCGACGCGCCGGTTACTGAAGACCTGTCAATGAGGCACAGCATAAGATGCCATGCGGGGCCATGCCGGCAAGCAGCAGTGATCGAAGTTAATATTTCGACCGTGGTGTGGGTACGTGGCATAGTATTTATTAATAGTAGCGAGGCCTTCCCTGCAATCTGTGTGCATTTCACCCCGCGGCGGACACACCACCTGGCTGGACAGGCGAGCAGCACACAGAGTAAATCCCCAGCGCCCGGCCAGCGACGCTGTCCCGCACGGATCAAGGACCCATTGCTCACGTGGTCCGAGCCCGACTGGAGCGGTCTCTAAGACCACTCTGAGCTGGGGCGTGCAGGATGGGTAGGGCGAGTCGCAAGCCAAGCAAGCCAAGCAAGCCAAGCAAGCCAACCAAGCAACCAAGCCAACCAAGCAGTGGCACGTGACAAAGGACCACGTTTCAGCTTCCAACACATCCGGCTTGGACAGAAGCGAACACCATCGCTCAATACATCCGGCTTGGACAAATGCAAAAATGTTTGGCAAAAAAAGGTTTCCTCACGCTGGCTTCCCAGTGTGCTTTAAAATGTTTTGGTCAACGGCCGTGCCCCCGGCACTGAAATTCCTAATAAAATACATAAATAAGCTAATACTACAACAGCTTGAAACCTTAAATCGGTATATTGAACTGCACTATTGAGGAAATTGGTTTTGGCCTTCAAACCCCCCTGATCCAGCCCCCAAGGATCCAACCCTCAAAACGAGTGTGTGGAGTTATGTAGTCATTGCTCATGAACTGAGCGTCCGCTATGCATGACATTAGACAACAAGCAACAAAACGTTTGTTAATAGTGATACCAAAGTGATGACCGGGCCAAGTAGCACTGCGCTGCAAAAGTGAAGTCGAGCTGCTTCTGCGAGAAACAACGTCTATAGAATCATGGCAGGTGGCATTTCGGATCTGGGGTGTCTCATGAAATGCCGGAGATGTAGAAAACATCAGTGCGTAATACAGCATCGACCTTAGCGGGCTTTCCATCCGTCGGAACCACTGCAGGTTCGAATCTCGCGAGCCCCGGCTCTGGGCACATAGATTTCGGCCAAAACATGGAGAGACTTTGGTGAAAGTGTGCCCCTCGCTGTCAGACTGTTATCATGTGCTATCACTGTAGTTCACGTGCTGTTCACGGTGTCGGGTTATGTCGGGTTGCTCTGAAGGCGGAGTGCCTATTGCAGCTGCACAGGAGACATGTCGAAGGGCATAGGCATAGTTTGAATAACGATGCAATCAAAGCCCTGGCCTGACTGGCTCGTCGTCTGGCGAGTCCGATAGAATCTCGTCCCCAGACTCTTCTGTAGAGTCATCCTGCATAGGCAGCTCTGCTGAATGGGCACGCTCCCCCCCGCCGAAACCCGCCACGAAAATCTGCCGACTGCTCATCGTTTGACACCTGCAGTCTTCTATCCCACATGGGTGGCCTTTGTAAGACCAGCTTCCAACGACATAATGGCAAGCCGGGAAGCGAAAGGCGCAACTGGTATGACGGTTTGTGACGAAGTTCAACGAGCCACGCATCAAGAACTCTAGCAAACTCCGGCTAAGAATGCGATAGAAAGCAGGACAATAAAAATACCACTTACGTGTCCTTAGTTGCTCACTTGAGCCACATACCTGCAAGCAGAGGAGCATGAGCAGCTTCACAAACTGTAGACAGCCGCCGTGTAGTGAGACATAGATGCGAGATCTGGCATGAAACCGGCAATTGACAAGCCCCTGACATGTGCCGGCCATCCTGGCCTGCAGCAAAGCAGCGAAACCCCGCACGTTCAGCGGAGACGTCATCAGCAGCTTCTCCACATCGAGCGGCACCGAGCTGTCATGTGTTACATCCATTTGCCCCAAATGCTCTCTGAGTCAGCAGCAGTGGCGGAGGGGGCAACACGTTCGGCAGAACCTTGGAAGCATGCATTGATCACACGTTGTCATGCAGTCATGAAGCTTTCACTGCAAGGACACCAGGCTCTCCTCGAAGGTTTAGCCAACGCTTAGGCTTAAAGTTAGCTACGGCTGAGAGCTTGAAACAGCTGCTGCTGATTTGCAACGTCGACATTCGATCCGCCGGTCGCTGCACCTCTCAAGGAGCGACACAGCATCCAGCCAACTGCAAACTGGCTTGCTGCGCTGCCGTCCTGCCTTGCGGGCAGGCAGCCGGACTCTCGCGTGCCGCAGCACCAGTCTCAAGAGCGGCTTCCTGAAACGGGTACACCAAATGCGGTATGGCTCTAGAAGTCTGAAACGCTTCTGCCAACTCCCTTCAGGTTTCCTTGCTTGCACTCCAGCCCTTACCACACTTCTGGGCATGCTGAACTTGGCGGCACCAGGTCCGAAAGTGATGGTGAGCGCGAGCGCGAGCGCGAGCGGCTGCGACTTCTCGCTTCCTGCTCTCTTCGAGCTGTGACTCTCAGCGGCAGCATACATTCCATCAGCCCGGAGGCATGCGACTGGCGTGTAGCTCTCGTGAAAATCCTCAAGTCCCGCTCCTCTTCGACACTTTGCCGCTGAGCGGGAGGTGCCTGGACCGCTGCCAATTCAGCAGAGCTACTTGCTGGCTACTTGTCTACTTGTGAGCCCGGTAGGATCACAGCCAGTGAGAGCAAGGCGGGAGCACGTAGACCCATCTTGCGATGAGGTTACAGATCCAGAATGCCCAGAAGCTCATGCCCTTCCAGCTTCAGCCTGAACCTATGCCTCCCCCACAAACAGCGATCCCTGGCCTGAGTCTGAGCTTGCTCCTCCTCTTCCTCGTCCTAACAAGCAAGCTTTGTGAGTCGGCTCATAGGAGGCTGACTCCTGGTCCTACTCGCTCCGGGGCCGGAGTGATTGCCTTTCGGCTGCGTAATGTGCTTGCGCGCGCAGTCACCGATACGAGGGAATCCAACCGTTTGCTGTGACTGACAACAGAGTGCCTGCACTCTCCTGGGGAAGTCATGGCATGAGAGACGAGTGCCGACGCTCCTCACGCTGGCGCCACTCGTCGAGCTCCTGGCGAGCAGTCGGTCTGCTCAGGAATTGATTGTTTTATTATATAGTGTCCAAAACTGCAGTGCTTTACCATCGTCTGGATCTAGAAACCGTGCCACCCAAAACTGCAGCCAAAGAGAGACCTTGAGTGACGCAACATGTCTGTTCGAGCAAACTCCTTTTTGTCATGCGCACTGCAGCACAGCAGCTGCAAATAGCTTTGTAGTGGAGCGTCCCCCCAAACTCCAAGATTAATCGGTTGTCTAGCTTCCTTTAAATTGGGATTTCGGAAGTGGATGACAGGTCAAAACAAAGCAGCAGTCCTTTCACCAATCATAGGTATATCCTGTAGCCTCACCGGACTGCGCCTCCTCCTGTGCGCCCTTGCCTTGTCCATCTGGAGACTCATAGCTCTCATAGGACGTGGAATCGGCATGCTTGTTGTCCCAAGACTTGTTGTCCCAAGACTTGTCGTCCCAAGACTTGTCGTCCCACGACTTGTTATCCCAAGCGGAATCAGCATACTTCCCTCCCCACGTACCGTCAAGTGTGCTGCTCCCGTCATAGCCTGCGTTTCCTTCTGCTATGTCTGTGAGATCTTTTGGCACTTCTTGGCCGGTCTTCTTGAAGACTTTGATGATCTGGCTCGCCAAATTCCAGTCAGAGGCAAACAAGCACGTGTAAGAATCTCCCTTCTCACCTGCCCGTCCTGTACGACCTATGCGATGAACATAATCCTGAATGTTGGCCGGCGCATCATAGTTGACGACGATTTGCACATTTCGTATGTCGAGGCCGCGCTGTGCTACATCAGTAGCGACGAGGACCCGTGCCTTGCCCTCTTTGAAATGCTTCAATGACCAGTCTCGCTGTGTCTGGTCCATATCTCCGTGCAAGCAGACGATTGGTGCTCCATTCTTTCCCAGCGTGTCATAAAGCCACGCTGCTGTCTTCTTAGTCTTCGTGAATATTAGTCCCGAGCCCTCCTTCTCCTGCAACATTTTGAAGAATTTCTCCTCCAGGAAGGTGACCTTGTCCTGTTCGGAGTGGACGGTGACGATATGTTGGCGGATGTCAGCATTTGCCGTTTGAGCATCCGTTGTTCCCACTTGTATGTGAACTGGCTTTTGCGTCAATGACCACGCCAGGTCCCGCACCTCTGAAGGCCACGTCGCCGTGAACAAGGCTGTTTGGCGCTCAGAAGGGAGCCATTGCGCAGTCTCCTTGATCTGAGGCTCAAAACCCATGTCCAACATTCTGTCGGCTTCGTCCAGAACGAGGTAGTCGCACAGCTCGAGGTCCAACATGCCTGCCCGACAGCTTGCAAGCTAGGCGAGTGATTTGGCTTGAGTTTGGGGACATGACTAGTCAGTCCATGGTTTTCAGCGCCTCTCTTAAGAAAATCGTTCAACCGGCCAGGTGTTGCTGCCACACATTGTGGCTTACCTCCTCGGTTCGTCCACAAACTTTGCGGCAAGCTTGCTGAGCGACGGATTCTCTCGAATGCCGTGTACTAAGCTCACGACGTAGCGCCTGTAGTTGAGGTTGCTGTGGAGCCCCGCCATAGACGCATGCTGTCACGACATCCGCTGGCTTTCCGAATTTTTCCGACCTTCGCTTGTTGGATCAGCGAGTCGGGCTTTGAATAGCGAACATGTTGTGATATTTGGTGCCGACAGTTCGTTCATGTTTACAGAACAACTTTTGCAGAGAGCCTGGGGAGACTTACACAAACAACGCTCGACTCGGCCAACATACTCCATCATTCGTCGGCCCATCGAAAAATAGCTAACTACAAAGCATGCATGCGTGCATGCGTTGGTTTGTGCATGTGCGCATGTACTCATCTATCTGTACCTGTGGATGCACGTGCGGCTTTGCCTTTGGTTCACCTTACCAGACTGTTGGCGGTGGAAGTTGCTCATTAGGCAGGACATAAAATTTGAATGGGAGCTTGCTTTTGGAACGGAAGAGAGACAGGAGAACAACTATCATCTTCACCCGCAAATCTATCGCGGCAAGCCGGTGTCTGTCTGGGTGCCGGACTCTTCATAGATTTGCTGGCAAAGCTCTCGGGTGGGGGCCAGGACCAACATGCCAGGGCCTTTTTCATAAGTCCTTTCCTGAGCTTCATGCCGCTTGACTTTGACATAGCCGGGGAGAAGGTAGCCCAAGGTTTTGCCCGACCCAGTCTTGGCCACGCCGATGCAGTCTGAGCCCTTGCAAAGCACGGGCCAGGCGTAGGTCTGGATTGGAGTTGGGCATCGGAAGCCCTGCTCTTGAAGATACCTTAGACTCTTAGACTTAGACTTCCTTGATTTGCTGTCCGAATCGTGTTCCAAGGCTCACGCCACAATTGCACACAAACCAAGCAAGCTCAGCCACGGCACGACATTAGACCAGCTGGGAACTTCCACTCACCAGTGCAGGCGTCGAAGGACTTCCATGTCTCGGATAGTTCACCATGCAAGACGCGAACCTGGCAAAGAACGCAGATTCATACTGCCCCCCGATTGAGCAGACAGATTGTGAGACCGAAAGCATTGTGGAAGCCTCTTCGTCGTCTTGCCACACCTCGTCCCCCCACTCCGCCATGGCTCTGCCACGAAAGCTGTTCACCGCGGGACTCACGAGAAAGTCAAGGCGAATGCACAACATAATACTGCAGCATGTCCTGAACACAGGCTCATTCCTGCCTTTCACAAGTGCTGGCCTATACAGTTCGAAGCGAAGTTACAGCAATATTGGTTTGCTACAAGGCCTCCTTGAGTAAGCGGGAAACCGACGTGACGGAGCGCAGTTGCAGAAGCCACAGTGTATAGGGTTCTAGCACTGGCTTCCGTGAGAAGCTCGATGAAGCTCGACAAAGCAAAGGCCACACGAGCACCTCGGCGGTGACGACCTCGTCCTCAGCGGCTTTCCCATCGATCTCTTGCTGCCACCTGGTTACAGCCAGCTCTCGGATTTCAACCCCTCTCCCTACGGGGAGTCGAGTCGAGTCGTAGGGATGGATGTCGTAAAGAGCTTCCCCTTTTTGGTCCTTCCTGTGATTCATCACTGCCCCGTGTGCTATGGCGTGCTGCTCGACTCAGACACGCTTCTACGCGGTAGCCGTGGCCTGCTGTGACCCTTTAATTGAGTCATCTCATCGCCTGCCTGCGCTTAGAGCCGCTCTTGGTGTTCGCAGCCTGGCGAGATCTACTCGTCAAACTTTCAAGCATCCTCACGACTAAACTCCGACGGACATCCGATGCGATCCCGGACCGGCAGAGACTTGCCTGAAAAAGAACCTATGTTACTATAAGACCGGCTCATACGAAAGCCAGCCTCGCGCTTTCGCCCGAGCATTTGCGGCGTCCATCCGCGCCGCGGGCAAACCCTGAAGGCACCCCGTCGATGGCCTATGAATTCACTTTCTGTCAAGCTTGCCTCCTTGCACAAGAGGGCATGATTTGCGCCATTTTCTGTGGCATGGCTTCAGTATGCTTCAGTTGACTTGGCAAGGGCATTGTCGGAGTGTGCAAGACGCATGCGCTGTCCATCTTGTGTGCTGGATTTAATCAAGCTTGCGGCTGCTCGCCAAAACAAGCTGGCCAGCATGAAGACTTCTCGCAGCATTTTGCAGGCTATCCGACTGAATCAATCCATTCACACGGAAGTGAACATCCAGTCTTCCGAATTCCAAAACGCAAAGACCGACATCGAGAAGCTCAGATGAGTTGCTGGCATCTCTGGCATGAGGGCAATGCATGAAGGGAGCGGATGGTTCGGGCCTACAGCAAGCTCCAAGCCTGCCACGCCGTGGTGTCGCATTGAGCAGGATCACATGCCTGTGCTAAGGCTCCGTTCTTAAACCAAACACGCCGACCGGCACAAAGGCTTCAAGAGTGTTTCAAGGCTGAGCGAGCCAACTCCTGGTCGTCCTTGGAGCAGATGACGATCTCCTGAGGCTTCGGTGCACGACTGGTAAATTGGACTCTGGGAATATTGGCTGCTGCACCGGTCAATGGGGCCCCCACGAAATGCTCCGTTTCTTGTCCCTGCAGGGCTGCATCCACGATGTCCTGCATCTTGTGCCTGCACTAGGCATGTTTATTCGATCCCAGCGCTGCGTGCGCCTGCCTGCATAAACAAGCTGACAGTCGCAGAAGTCGAGCAGAGCAGCTCAGCTAGCCTGTCTGACTCGACGACGAACTCCTGCACGAAAGATCGACCTTCCACTTCCTGCGTTCAATCAGGCATGAGCTGCTGTGGTGCTTTCGTGCATGCATCCAGAATCTAGACTTGAAGGCTTGAAACTGTTCTTCTGGTGCCAATGACATTTTCTGCATCGCGTGTTCGGTAGAAGAGTAGCGCCGAAGAATCTACAGTCGGTCAGGCTCTGGGCAAGGTCCCGACTTGACGGCCTTATGATTCTGGAGAGCATGACACAATGACACACGCTGATGCCTGGCTTGGCCCGACCGACGCTTCAACGGTGCAATTCTTTTTCGCGCGTGGACCAGCGACCCACGAAATCAGTACCGCTGCATGCTCTGGGTGCGAAGTTCCCTTTTAAGTTGAAGGGTTGATTCTTGGCGCAACGGGTCCTCGGGACATCCTGGGTTCAGTAAGCGCAAGGACCTAATTGCTTCCGTGTACTTCGTGTAGAGCAGCAATAAGGCCATGATGTGGCTTGGCCACGACATGACATCGACTGAGCTGGTCCCCTTCGGGGCAACAGCTTGGGGGAGTTGATAGCACTGGCATTAGCAACCTGCAACCAACCGCTCGCATCTCTGTGCCCAGGCATGGGGTCGGCCGAATTAACTTTTCTGCGTTCGCAAACGTTTTACTTCACGACTTTGGGAGAACGTTGCGGCACCTCGGTGCCAGAACAGTTGCTACACTCCGCCACAAAACATAAGGGGCTCCGCTGCAGCAGGGGCCTGGTTCTTCCACCAAATGGTCACGCTAGAAACGGCTCCAGTCTGCAACAAACTATCGTATATCGCTGCTTGAGACTACATCACAAAGTAAATCGCAACCAAGCAGCCAACTTTGGGTACACGTGGTCCGTACGAGACTTGGGGTGCTGAATACCTGGCAGTAGCTCCTGCGAACTGAAGCTGCTTGATTCGTGACCGCATCGCATGGCGCTGATATAACTTCAGTCTTGCACGCAGCCGGCCTCTCCCACCAGGCAAGACGTCCTAAGTCCTGTTTTGATCGCATTCAGCCCTGTCCTCCAAGCGGACAAGCATCTCTTTGTGCCGGCGAGGCGTGTCGAGTTGGGGAGTCCTGAAAACAAGCGCAGGCGAGCCAGACCAGGCAGCTGGGCTATGGTACTAAAGCAAGTGCTCCGTCTGTTCCGAATCTGAATTGCTGGAATCGAGTGGCTCAATCAATCCCTCACGCTTTCCAGGATGTCGCCACCGAGTCTCCTCCGACAGCTAGGATCAAACTATGGTGACAGTGTGACAGGATTTGTGAAACGCGTTGGCAACAACTGCAAACAGGAACAGTGAGGCAGTGAGGGTGACACGGTGACACGCAGCGTCTGCTCCCCAAGCTCCTGCTTCTGTCGCTCCACTTTGTGCCGCAGCAAGGCCACCTCTTGAGCAGCCTGCCAATGGCCAATGGGCACTGATAAGCTGGACAATAGGATCTGCAAGTTCTGGTTTTCAATTTCTAGAGTTTCCTCCCAACTCCGACTTTCTACGATTTCCGGTAGTTGAAGCCGCCTGCGCCAATCGTGTGCTATGCAGCTCTTTGAGCTCCTCGTGCCTGGGATGCGGGAGCTGAGCGTGGACCAAGAGGCTGGCAAACTGGCCAATCCCAAAAAGCTCCATGATTGGTTAAGTCTAATGATGTATGTGTATGAACTCCTGGCCAAAAACGTCCCGGTCGCCGGTTCCTCTCTTCCAGCAGTTGCAATCTCAACTCCTGCATTGGGAGTCTCGTGATTGAGGCACCGGTGATGCTACACGCTGGTCGTGCCTGCTGCTGCTCCAAGGACTTCTGGAGCGCAGCCTGAAGCTTGCTACTTGCTACTGTGTCAGGGAGGGCTGCGGCATCTTCAAGCAGTATCCTTGCACAGATCCCAGGGTGCTACATGGTGCTACCAGCACCACGAGGCAAGGTCCGACTACATCCAGCATGGCCTTGCCACCTTCAAAGCTGGCCTCAGCGTCACGGCGCCCGGCAGTAGCTGCACAGACCTGTGCGTGGCAGGCCTGCTCCAGCCAATCACAGTCCTCGCAGACCAAGCAAGCACTAGCCATGTTAATATGGAGGAACATGGAGGAGCTGCAGAAGAACACGTCAGAAGACTGCTGGCCTCGCATGAGCTGGTGCTGGCGTCTCGACTCAAACGCAACATGTTGCCTCGAGGCCTGTATTCCCGATGTGGATCTAGTACTGGTACGTGCGACCAGACGCTACAATCGAAAAAACCGTGCATTCTCAGATAAAGAGCTTCCCTTACAAAGCCCTCCACATCCACCGTCAAGTTTGCATCGCGTGCTCACGCCGACCTTGCATTGAAGATGCTTCGCATCGCTGTCGCTTTGCTCCTGCGGGCTTCGCAACCGACTCGACCTGACTGCATGCTCTGCCAGGTCCAGCCTCAGCAGCACGTAACTTGTGCACTTCATGTCGCAGAGACTGCAGCTGCTTCAATGCCACCTGCACGCAGTTATAGAAGTTGCTGAGCACTGGGTTCACAAGGATAGACGGAGTCGATTTCACCAAGATTTCGCCTCAAGCTCACCTCTTCGGTCATGGAGTGATTGCTTTGCCTGACCCAGCTCCTGCAGAAGTGCACAAGCGATGAATCAGCAAAAGATACACAACTCCCACGGAAAGAAGCCTGCAGTAGCAGAAGACAAAGAAGGTTCGAGAATAGAGGGAGGAACCGGAAACAGGAGGCGAGGGCGGAAGGGGTTGGTGCTGATGATGATGTATTTGGCTGCTGATGCTGCTGCTGCGGCTGGTGATGATCATCGAGTCATCCACGTCATCAACAACCACACCAGCACAAATGTCATGGGCGCCGTCCACCCCGCCACCACCACCGGCACCACCACCACCACCACCACAACCACCACCACCACCACCACCACAACCACTACCACCACCACTACCATCATGATCCATGATCACCATCATCGCATGTCATCACCACCATTATCAGCACTATGATGGTATTCTTCGCCTTCTTCTTCTGGACCTCACTCTTTCCGCAAACGAACACCGCACGTAAAGTCAGGCGGGCCCGAGAAAATGTGGCAGTGCCAACAGGAGCAGCAAGAGGACGGACGCAACATAGCAGGCATCGAAATGGTGGCCAGAGTTTTCATTCGTTTTGTCGGACTGGGGCATCATGCAGCGCACGTGACACACACACACACACGCACATGTACAGACAGACTTGAAAACGCGCACACACACACACAACATGCCCGGCGCGCCATCTGCGTGGCCATGAAGTCCGCATGACCTCCCATGTGCTCCTTGCATGCAATGGAGGGATTGAATTTGACGCAGCGCGGGCTACTCCGAGAGGGCAGCTCTCCTCTTCTTTCAGCGCCCGCCGCAACTCGAATTGCAGCTTGGCCTGTAAAGGCCAGGGCGACTTCGTCTCTCACTTCTTGTCACCTCCTATTGGCCTTTCAGCCGACAGACCCGTGGCCCGTGATTCGTGGAACGATGTGCCAAGTGTACATGCAGGCCTCGGACTCCCGCGTCTCTTTTAACTCCTTCTCTTGTGCGGCTATCCTGGCGGGGGCTGGAGCAGGAAGGCTTGCTAAGCCGCTAGGCTATATGCTTCAACGGCCCACACCTGATGCTGCAGATATTTGGCTCAACACGACAACTTGATCAGCCCTTTGCAACGCACACTTGCCATGGGTCTGCCAAGATATCTTTAAAGCCCAGCTGCTGCACATGCTGCGATTCCATGGATGCAGTGGCGAACGACAGCTTCTGGTTCAAATCTGCCGTGTGCTTTCGGTAGTCCTCCGGGAAGCGCACACACACAATTCACATGCCGCGAGTGAAACGAAGCACCTGAGCTTCGAAGACAATAGCTGTTGTTGCCAAATTATATGCTGTCTCTATCTGTCTCTCGCTTGGATGATTGTCTGGGAACCCGAACCGTAGGCCTCCCATGGCCTCCCCCAAATTTGTCACCCCAAAGCAACTACTGGAAAGAGGGGCTGGGCGTCTTCCTGCCTTCAACTCTTGTGCTACTGCAACACACGCTACTGGACCGCACACCGATTACAGCAACCGATCATCGATCTTGCTGTCCTCCACTCCCTGTAGTAGACTACATTAAACCGACTTCACCTTGCCCCCCACCTCAAACCGAACAGAACCTTGCGCAAGTACACTGCCTGACCTTCCCACCCCTCTCTGAAGCCTCTACCGAAGTCGCCAGCACATGTCCCCCCGCTTTGTGAGAGGTCAGAGGCAAGCACACTGCGCAAGCTGTCAGCGACACGATTGCAGCATCATTCACGAGCGTTACGACTGCAAACCCATACATCCATGCCCCAGATCAGGCTGCACCCTTCCTATACCCTGCATGCATGCATGCTATCGCTACCCCACATTCTGCCGATTTGCATCTTGTGCTTATCGCCTTGTAACCTTTGGTCAGTTTATCCTCTATGCCCATCTGCAGCGCATCCTCTGAGATGTGTATGTGCAATGCACAACAGTCGCTCCATATCAGCTCTGCTTGCACCATGCCTGTCCTCCAGGTCCTTGCTGGCCTCCGACAATTCCTGTGCCATCCTTGTATTAGCTTGGTAGCTTGGCACGGCGCAAGATTTGTGAGACCACAAGGAGCGCTCCAAATCCCTTTTGCTTTCGGACGCGTGCAAGGGGAAGCGGAGAGCAAACAGTATCAAACAGTGTGGGAAGGACACCCTAAGGGGAGAGAGAGGCTCTCTTGGTCTTTGCTGTATGTGGGGAGGTCAGTGACTGAGCGAGTGAGATTCTTGCGATCGCATAGATCTTCGCTGCTGCGTGGGCAGTTGTAGACTACTGACTACAATAGGCACAGGCGGCACAGAGACATGGCCAATCGTGGCGGGACTCATGAGGTCAGTCGACTGACACGTTGCCAACTCCGAGCTGGCTCAGAAGAAGCTAATCACAACATCCGAGCGTTCTGCTGGCAGTGGCAAGGCGCCAACTTCGCAACCAAGGCTCCGCTTCTCCTTCACGGTGGCACTCTCTGCCTTCAGCTCGGCGCGCTCCACCCGCAAACGTAGGTTCTGATCACAGGACATACTCGAAGCTTCTGCGACTCTGAAGTCTGCAGGCCCTCCTACTCCAGAGCAAGAGTGTGAAGCCGTCAACGACGTCCTCTAGCTCTTCCTTTTTGTTCTCCAGCTCCCTTTCAAGGTCCACGATGCGATCCTGTTCGAAGCCACTGTTTCCGTTTGACTCGGCGAAGCCAATTGCACCCACGAGCGCACCAGGACTTGCGTTCTCTTTGCGACAGACTAGGACATGCGGTTTACACCTGACGACTGGATGCACTAGTACTCCTTGGCAACAGCGGCATCCTTGAAGAATGTCCAGCCAACCTCCACACCAGCAAAGCTCCATCAAGCGCGGTGCAGCTGATCTCTCACAAGCAACCGTGATTATAGCTACGCTACGCCCCTATGCCCGGCCCCAAACATGTCGTTGCGCTGACCCTGAACAAAACTGTTTGCGTTTACCAGGCCAGGCCTCGACCATGCCACCCCATTTCGATGTCCTTCTGGTAACCGTGTTCTGGTCCACCCTTGGCTTCACAAAGCAGCCGGGACATGCGGCGCATTTTCGGGACCACAAAGCCGGGGGACTTGAAATGCTGAGTTTAACTGGGCGCACCCACCGCCGGATTCCTAGAGCTTTAGTGCGATTCTGAAGCCGGTGTATCTCGGTGAATGAGAAAAGTGAGAAGAGAGAAGAGTCCTTTGCAGGTCGCCCTCAGCCCTTACAGAGCTTGCGGCACATCAACCGCGCACACTGTCTCTTCGCTGTTTCCCTTTTCCCCCGCAGCACTAGTCAACACCATTCACCAAAGCCGCACTGAAGCAAATCTCCAGTCTCACGCACCTTCAGTGACTATGAGCGGCGATGGTGTGACCTAAAAGGCCGCTCAAAACATAGAGGTGATAGAGGCTGTCTGACAGTGCAACTGACTATCATCGATTGGGTGACATGTGTCGCTACCATCGAGTCATCGAGTGTTCTTGTTTGAGCTGAGGCCAAGCAAATTGGGCAAAGGTTCTGTACACTGTACTCGGCCGCGGCCCGTTTTTGCTTAGGAAACACCAGGAA